AATAACAAAATGTGCAAATAATTTAAATTTTATTTTTTAATTCATACACTTCGAGAAATTACTTTATTCATAAAAGTATAATCAAATATTTGCAAATCTGTAATAATTGAACAATTAATAAATGACGTTAAATGTCAAGACCTAAAAATTTGGCAATCGATGCAAATAACGCCACGCCATCAAAACCATTGTAATAAGAAAGACAATTAAGGATATGGCAATCATCACATCCGCCAGTGTTTTCCAATATATACAGGAATCACCTAGATGAGAAAGTCTTCTACAGTCTTCCCACGAGATTCTGTTTACGAAGTTTTGGAGATATTGTTTGGCCACTTCTCTGTCCTTTTCTTTGCAGGCTTTAGTCGGATCGTTGTCTATAATGTTGAGTACACACGAGTGGAGTGTGTGATATGCGAAACCCATCTACAGGTATTGGCATATATTACAAATGGTGTCAAATCACTAGACATACCATACCTTCTGATTGGTATCCTCTTTGCATTTGCCGTCCATTTCCCGTTCGAAGCCTCTTCGACCAGACCCGGTGAGATGGGTTCGGGTTCTTTCCAAACACATTTGCTGGGCTCTGCTTTTTAAACACTCTCTGGACATGGGGTGATTGCATTCATTTAATGAATATGTGCATAATATAAAGACAGAGAGTGATAGACATCCAATAAATCCCATTGTGTTGACCATCTATTGTGTGCATTACAATCTGAGTACTCGTATTATTATCAAACAATATTAGAAATGAGAAATTAAAATGATTTATCTCATAAAACTATTAACTTTACATACATGTATTTAGTCATGAATATCATGAACAAATACTATTTGTAGATTAATGTATTTATGACATGTTTCTTACTTTTATTCCTGTATTTAGAATTAATCTGTATTAACACTATTTTATTAATTATTAATCATGCTCAATTATCAAATTACTCATGAATTTAATACATTATTCTAATATTAGTAATCTTTAGAAAAAAAATTTATAAAATGTCGAAAACACTTGCCTTTCCATTAGAGTTGGGTATACTTTGTTATAATCAGTTTTGCAAACAATTATAATTTATAATTTATAATTGACAATAAATTAATTAATTAATAACTAAAATGTGAATCAAAACTAATTCTCTTTTATTTGCGAATAAAACACAAAAAATTGAATGCTTTGAGAGACAGACAGCGCCGGCATATCGCCAATTGACTAACTTTTAGCCCAAATAGAGGCCATTGACCAACAGCTGAGTGGCCAACACCGGCGCCTGATTCACAATAGGCTGAGCCCTGGAGACCCTCACCTCCAGGTGTTTGGCCACTTCTCTGTGCCAAGTGCTGGCATTGGGACCATCGGTCGCCTGAACCAGAGCCGCGCACTCGCGGGCAATGTCTGCCATATCGGCCTGCATTCCGGCCACAGTATGCATACCTCCCTCTCCTTTCTTCCAGTCGTTCAACCGGTCGGCCAATTGTTTGCTCAACAGTTGAACGAACACAACATCAGTGGTCTCGTCGGTGTCACTGCGGACATAACGCCCGTCATAAGTGAGGCCTTCGCTCTCCTTGTCGTCGGCTACATAATGTCCGTCGCGGGCGTCCAACCGAAATGTGGCCAACTCTACGCCACTGCCACGAGTCCACGGTTTGCTCTCGTCTACAAACACCACCACTCGTCCGGCAAAACCCATGTCATGTTCGGTGTCTTCGACGCGCACAGCGTATGGCCGGCCGTCGACGACCACCCGCTGGTTGTCTGTGGTTTGGTTCAGATCGACGCGCAAACACCGATAGCCCTCCCAATCGAGTCCCAGTCGTGTCAGCTCTTTCTCAATGTCCGCCACACGACTGTCCAAACGGTCGATACGTTTGGCGATTGGCATCTCTTGTCGCGGATAGAGTGGCCGATAGTCACCCGACTGTCGGTCGGATCTCTTGCGCGCACAACGCGTGCGAACGGCCGCGCGATTGCCTTTTCTGGTTCTGCTCGACGATTGTCTATTGGCCGGCATTTTGTGTCTATTCTTGTGGTCTGTTTCGCAGATCTATCAACACTTTTGACTAATTTATTTCTGAGTCAGTAAAAAGTTTTCAGTGAAAATGTTGTATTGTTTTCTAAGCGAATTTGTATTGTTTTTAAAGTTATTTTTATTTTTAATTTCATTCAACAATTGAATGCGTTTACAAACTTTTTATTTGCCATCAATTACTTAATCCAGAGATAATACAGTAGTAATGAACACAGCATTCAGTAAAAGACAATATCACTGTCAGAGAGACATATTTTCAACATTAACCCAACAAATAACTCCATACTATTTAGTATATAATAAACATAAAAACGAGTTAAACTCAATTAAACAATTAATATAAGCTTAAATTCAGTACAAACATAATTCAATGTAAGTGTAGAGTGGGTTAAAGCAACAAAAAAAGTGCAAATGGGCAAAAAAAAGTGTATCGAGCCAGCCAGGATTCGAACCTGGAATCTCCTGCTCCGTAGGCAGGCGCGTTGTCCGTTGCGCCACTGGCCCCCACTTATACTATACACGCTTTGTAAACCTATATAACACTCGACCTTCACTTTTCAAACACTACTATCGCTATAATACACGCTATGCTATGCTATGCTATATAACCGTTGCCTACAATCAAACCCCGTTAGCGGTTGGCTATATTTAAATCAACGCTAATTGTAATTAATTTTGGTTTAATTTTATTTACAAAACATTATAATTAATATCGAAATAAAATTAAATAATTACAAACCTATAGCGCGGAGAATAAGCCGTAACGCAAACACAGCGTACATCTAAGCGACGATAGGGGGTATCGTTTGGCTAATCGTCTGTCACTTCTCTGCCAAACGAATGAGAAATGCATTGAATTTTTTGTGTCAAAAAATCGTCACTTTTTTGCGCGCATTTGAGACACACTTTTGGCCGCAAAACAAGACACCCATTGAGTGACCCATCGATGGCTTCACCGCACGATTGCGCCGACGAAGACGTGATGAGCGCTATCAACGACACCATCGATAGCCTGTACTCCGAGGACTACACTATGGATGCGCCCGAAGTGGACGCCGAAGACACAGACGACAGGCGTCGCGACTCCGGACGACTCCGACCCCAACCGCCGGTCGACAGCGACTTCAGCGACGACTCAATTGATCCGCAGATTGAATACGATTTGATTATCAATCAGAGCCAGAGTCAGGAGAAAGAGGTGGACATCTTCGCCACCCCCGCAGCCGATGACACGCCCGTAGAGACCGCCGCACCCGATGCCGGCCTACTGTCCGACGCGTCCGACAACCACTCCACTCAACCCATGGATCCGATCGATGGCCAGATGGCGGACACCGCTGTGGCTGACGCCCAGACGGGTAGAGCGCAAGTGAGCGCCGATTGCGAGACAAACGCCGCCACAAAGAGTATGAAAGAGACGCCGAAGAAGAAGAAGATAAAGAAATGGTTGCCTCCGAAGAAGCAGAAGACCGATAAGAAAGTGGAGACCATTGAGAAGAATGCCAACAAAGAAGAGACGATTCAGAAGACGATTGAGAAAAAGCCAAACAAAGAGGTGTCGGAAAAACAGGACACGAATGAGACGATTGAGAAGAAGTCGAAGAAAGAGGTGTCGGAAAAGCGGGAGAAGGAGAAGAAACTGCCGAAGAAGGTGTCGAAGAGCGTCCATAAAGTGGCCAAAAGTGATACAAAAAGCGATAAAAATGTGCAAAAGTGTAAAAAGAAGTCAAAGACAAGAATCGGATCCAAAGACACGAAATATCGGCTGAAGAAGAAGTACTACGGAATCACTAAAGAACTGTTGGAACAGCTGTTCGGCAAACGGGACGCCCAGACAGAGGCCAGCGCTGAGAGCGCCGACTACGAGGCCATGTATTCACAGCAATGCGAGACATGGTTTCAAAGGCAGACCCGACTCATGAGTGCCGCCACCGAAGCCTGCGTTTGATTTTCATCTGATTATATCTGCCATCACTTTGGAGTTGAGTTCAAAGACTTCAGACAAGAGTTTTGTTTGATTTTTTATAAACAAATCTATGATTTATGTTATCTTTTGAATAGTATTTTTGGTCACGAATTCATTTCATCGCAAATCCATACAAACCATACATTTATTTCATTATTTATTGAAAACTCATTTTAATATAAATTGTATAAAAAGTTTTTATAATTGCATTCAATGCCTGTTTTAAATATGTTAACACTTTTATAGAGACTTTGTATCGAAACATATTTTAAAGAATATTCTGAATAACAATTTGTGATAAACTTAACGACAAAAGCGATTAATTAATAAAAGAGATTAAATTCAAAGTGAAATTAACCATTGGCTCAACCATTAAGGAAATGATACATTATTTTCTTGATATAAATACAAAGACATAAATCATTGGTAATAAGACTTCGATAGAAATTGCAAACAAAAAAACTTATAAATAATTTTTTATATATAATTTGTGACGAAAACGAAAGCATAGATTGCTTTCTCAGAAGAAATCCAAAAAAATCCGGAAGTTTTTTTGTGTTCACTATAAAAGTGGAGCTCTGGTTAGTGTACAACACGTTGTGGTTTAGTGTATATCTGTTTCAGTGATATAGTGGTCAGGACTGACAGGTTTTTTATATTTCTCTGGCATTACTGCTCGAAGGCATTCATAATAGAGTACACATCAGATATTTAATTGCAATATAATTAATTGAGTGAAACACTGGAAGAGAGAGAGAGAGAGAGAGAGAGAGAGAAATGAAAGTCAAATTTTTCTCTTTTCTAATGAATTTGTGTTGTTTTTATTCACTCTTTTAAGATATGGACTTAACTTATCGTTTAAAACGCTTTTTTATCGACAATAATAAGAAAAAAAGCACTCATTTTAATATAAATAATTACAATAACAATAAAAACCCTTTGAAAAAACGGTCGTTTATCTCAAAGTTTACATCAAATGTAATCAAAGTCTTTGGAAAACATACATAAGTTGTAAATGAGTTGCGAATAAAAGTTGATTACATATCAAAACTGAGACACACTTTCCGCTCGCTATATGTTTTTGTGATGAAGTTTTTTCTCCGATGAAAAGGCATAGAAAAAACCTAAACCTGAAAACACAACACAAATCCCTAACGAATCCTCAGTATATGGACTAAACAGTGAAAGTGGAAAATATGTTTGAGTACACTATCGCCTGCCAGGCATAGGAGGAATAGCGCTCATACCATACATACCTGTTCTCTCACTGAACATACCTGTGCTCTCTCGCCACTGCACACATACCTGTGGCACTGCCACTAAATAATTTGCCGTTTCAATCGCTAAACTCATAGTTTTAGTGTTAAAACACTGCCAAAAAGTATTTATGAAATTTACTAATGTTTGGTTTGAATGCGTTTTCTCGGAGTGAGTGGAGAGCGAAAGTCGACGAGTAATTTCTCTGTGCGCTGTTTAACACGAAATATACTGTCTTTCAATGACATCACTGCATACCGGAGCCAATGATTACCGGCGCTATCGCATGATTTCCCAGTGCCAGAGATACTCACTTTCTCTCAAACAACTTTCACAACACATACACAGCGCAAGAATTTATCGTAAACACACTATCCGTGCCTTTTTTACCATCAAATATTTCATTTTACTTTTACTTTTATAACTTTTATTCTCTTCCTTACAATTGTCCGCCAATTATTCATTCACTTTCACACATTTGTAAATGAATTGTGTGTTTAAAATGATAACTAATACACGTCTAGACGTTGGTGAAGGAGTTATAGTCGACTGAATTGATTGTGTGATTTGTATCGATATATTCCGTCCATAAGTTATTGAAATATTATGTCAAACATACTGTCAATGAGTGTCAAACTATTTTGTGTTATATTTATTTTATTGAAAGTCAATGTATTAGTGGTGTTGAGCGCCGATGAGACCGACGACAAGACATGTCTAATGGACTCCATCTGTAAGAGCAAAGACAAGGAGGGGGTGAATAAGAACTCTCCCTGTCATCAGATCCACGCGCCCTATGATAATGTAACCGACGATGACTTCTATGATCTCCTCTGGAATAATTGTCCCCATTTTTTCGACGACAAAGGTATTGCTTTTACACCTTATTTCTACTCTCTCTCTCTCTCTCTCTCTCTCTCTCTCTTTAGGTGAGCACAATGCCTGAATATCTAAGAAAACGATTTGGTGGTCAACGGATCCGTATATATATGTCAGTGTTGGCTCTATTGCTCTACATCTTTACCAAAATATCTGTTAGTTTTATTTATTGACCATTATGACTGAACTACAGTTTAATGTACACTAAACATTATAATTTATAAACTATCCAATGAATCAATTTATTAAATTATAAATAGGCTGATCTGTACGCGGGAGCGCTTTTCATCAAACAATCATTGGGTCTAAACATGTATGTGTCGGTTGTGATATTACTGGCCATATCGGCCGTCTTCACTATGGCTGGAGGTCTAACCACAGTATGTGTCTTTACTAAATATTTATTTATTTATTTTAATATATGTTATATTGGGTTAAAGTCCAATAAACCTGCCTGTGACAAGTTTGTAAAGAATACCAATAGCCGCGTGAACACGAGTGATATAATTCATTAATCATAATTAACAACATTACTAATTAATAAAGTGTAAGTGATTTAAACTAAATTTACTTACAATAGGTTTTAATGAAGTGGGAAAAGAGTACAATAATCCGAGCGGTTATAATNCCAAAATTCAGATGAAATCGGTTGCTCTAATCCCGATATATGCAAAAAGATCTGCGGCTCAGAGTCCGGCTGCTCTAACATCGCATACCCATTGCTAGTGCTTAGACTGATGCCGGCGGGTATGTAAAATGTTCATGGTTCTTTACTGGCTAATCTAGCGTTAATTCATATGAAAACCATTACAATCAGGTCTGACGGGTCTTATGCTGAGCGTAATGATGGCGGCGCTCATGAGTTCACTCACATCCATATTCAACAGCGCGTCCACAATATTCACTATCGATATCTATAACCGATTCCGTCGTCAGGCCTCAGAGGTAGAGCAGGTGATCGCCGGCCGTATATTTGTCCTCTTTCTGGTGGCCGTCAGTATTCTCTGGATTCCGATCATAGAGTCGTCGCAAAACAGTCAACTCTTTAATTACATCCAAAGCGTCACCTCATATCTGGCCCCTCCTGTCTGTGCGGTGTATGTGTTGGCCATGTTTTGGGGCCGAATCAACGAAAAGGGCGCCTTTTGGGGGCTAATCATTGGTCTCGTGATCGGCATTATTAGGTTTGTGATGGAGTTCTCATACAGTGTCCCGACGTGTGGTTCCGGAATCGCTGACCCGAGACCTACCATACTATCAAAAGTACATTATTTACATTTTGGAATTATATTATTTATTATCTCATCGGCGGTTACCATTGCCATCAGTTTATTAACCAAACCTATTGATGAAAAACACGTAAATATTTGTGCAAACAATTTATACTTTTACTAATTGTGTCACTAATACTATACATTAGTTGTATCGATTGACTTATTGGTCGAGAGGTAGTCATGAAGTACGCGAAGATATAGAGAGCGATGCGGTGGCGGAGACCGAGACATGCGGACAAACAAACAATGGTTTTGTCGCCGAAGACGGCACAGAATCGGCAACGACTGGATCGCAAAATAACAATGTTGTGTTAAAATCAGGTGATAATGAGAATAGGAGTCGACTATTGTATACATTATGTTGTGTGGGCTCTGGGAATAAGTCGGCCGAAGAGGGGGACAAAGGATACAAAGGTAACGATGGAGATAAAGGTGTCATACCATTGACCAAAGAGGAGGAAGCGATCCGTTGCGCTAATGATGTCAAAGAAACACCCGTTTGGCGATCAGTGAATAATTTATTTGCAATTCTTGTGGTAGGAATCGGATCCTTTTTCTGGGGCTATTATGCCTGATATACTGTATAAACACACTTTATATGTCATTTAAATAATGGTTAAACTAGTCGTGTGTTTAAATGAATATTTGATATAATCTGTAATTCAATACTTTCTTAAATAAATGTTGCACAAGTCTTGTGTAACCTTTAAGTAGATTGTAACCATTAACCTGTAACCTTATAATTGTTTTATTTTATGAATGTCTTACATATTCATTGTATGCTATTTCTGTGGTCTATCGTATCATCAAGAATTACCTTAAATAACAGTAAAACAATGAGAATTTGATATACTTTTAAACATTATACCATGGTTACACTGGTAACAATGTACTCATATTTTACTTGTAATTAATTAAGTTTAATATTGTTTTATTTTACAATTTAAATATTTGTAAAACCCAATGCATAAAAATAATCATCACTTTTCCATTAATATTAAGAAAAAATTTGTAAAACAATACAATGTAATGAAATTGAAACAGAAATAAATGAATAAATGATAAGAAATGTTGAAAATTATACGAAATGAATGTAAATTCGGTTCAAATTCATGCCTTCACTTCTGTTCAGTCACTACTCAATCATTGAATCACTGGTCGGACCTCATATTGCTTTTGTTAGCAAAATATTTTACATTATATTTCATAGATATAAAAATAATCATCACTTTTCCATTAATATTAAGAAAAAATTTGTAAAACAATACAATGTAATGAAATTGAAACAGAAATAAATGAATAAATGATAAGAAATGTTGAAAATTATACGAAATGAATGAATGAATAGAAAATGTTATGTTCAATAAAACATTGTGTGAAACATTTTATATTCAAGTTGTGTTCAAAGTTACAATTAAAGTTGTATTTAAAATATGGAAAATTTATTTTTCTATGAAATATAATGTAAAATATTTTGCTAACAAAAGCAATATGAGGTCCGACCAGTGATTCAATGATTGAGTAGTGACTGAACAGAAGTGAAGGCATGAATTTGAACCGAATTTACATTCATTTCAATTGTTAGCATTCATTTATTAGTATTGATTATATTTAACATGTATTAAAACTATTAGACAGTATTTTTCACTCGACATCACATTTCATAAAATCTTCACTAAGCTCTCGATGAATGTGTGATTTGGTTCATCTCTCAACACTATCACTACTAATCCCATCACTTATCCATTCAATTGATCATCAATTCAAATCTAAATGTTATCGAGAATTTTGCCGCTTTCCAGTCCTTTCCGGACCAAAAGGTTTGTGTTTAATCTCTTTAATACGCAAATATTTGAATCCTTTTCTTGGGATCAATCTTAGGGTCAAGTTTGGCATTCCTCTGGAGGACGTGTGCGACGCTCACGACGACATTCCCGCAGCCCTTCTCGTCATGATTCTCAAGCTTAACAAAGAGGCGCCTTTTGAGCGAATGGTGTTTCGCATTTGCGGCCATCGCGGCAGCATCATGCAACTCAACCATTTCCTACAGGTTTGAGTCAAACAAACAAATCTATGTTTACATTGAATAATATCTCTGTGTCTCTGTGTGTAAAGTCGGGTCGTTTGGTCAATATTGACAACTACTCCGTCTATGCAATCGCTGATGTGCTCAAGAAATTCCTCAATGAGTTACCGTCGGGAGTGTTTGGCAAACAAAAAGAGCGGCAATTGTTTTATATCATTAAATGGAAAGTATTGAAGAAAAGAGGGAAGAGATTCATAGGATTCTGACGTCAATGCCAGTCGTCGCTCAACACCTTCTGGTGCTTCTGTTCGGCACATTCCGAGCGATGGCCACATGTTCTCAACGGGCCATCACTTGTGTAACATCGGAAACGATCGGTATATTGTTTGCCCGGATTTTGTTTCAAACGTTGGATTCCGATGTGTCCACTGCTATCATAAGGTTTTTAATCGACAACTTCGGTGCGAGTAATCTCTTCGGTAGAGATAATTACGAATATTACGGCCGAATTTCTGGTCGCGTTCTCAACGTGGAGGACAACTGGATCTTTGCGTTGAAATACCCGTCCGATTCCTATCACAATACACACGAATGTGAAAGTACTCCCACTCTATGCACCACTCGTTTGACACCAATGACGGCACAACCCGTAACTCCGGTTCAAACGCTGCACCAAAACATTGATGACTCGTACGCACCACTCGGTGTGTCTTTGGTGGGAACCATTTTGAAGGAGACCTCCGCGTCGACCGCAACGGCCAATAACCGAAGAGCCGATGAGTCGATCGCCGGTTCATCAGTGAAGCAATTGGTGCGGAAGCGGTTGCCAAGAAATAAGCCATTTGTGCGGAGCTTATCCTCCAAGGATGACAAAGAGAACGACAACGAACACAAAGCACAGCAGCAGTCGGGCCCTAATCACGTGTCGCCTACCGGTGCCGACAACTCTGATGCACACCAATTGGTCGACACTCAGACTCAGATGTGCTTCGAGTCTGAAGGGGTCGACGGAGACGTCCAACAAATGAATATTTCGTTCGCATATAACCCTCTATTCTAATGTTTAATTTTGTCTTCTTTTCTGAAGTCATAATTAACTAAAAATTTTAAGGATTTTATACTTGTTTTTTCCACAAACTTTTAAATGAATTTATTTTTTCACACCAAAGAATCAATTTTTATTTACATTTGTATTACATATTATTTGCTCTTTTTTTACTTGTTTGTCCTAAATATTGATTTTATTATTGATTTGATAACTCATTCGTAGCCAATAAGGGAAACAATTTTTAAAATGCAAAATGGATTTTTTATAACATTTTATTGAATTTGATGTGAAATGTATTTTTTACGATAATTGATGTAATATATTCTGAAATTATTAAATATTAAGTTGAATTTTAAAATACAATATCATAGACTTTCAATTTTCATAAAGTAGCTCATCATTGTAATTACTAATTAGTATACAAATAATTAGAAATTACTAATATATATTTATATAGATAACTATTATTGCTAGTAGTTTTTAAAGTTTTAAATTAAATGTTAATTTTTGCATAAGGTTTAGAATCTAAACTTTAGATTATAAAACACGTTGAAAAGTACAATTATTACTCAAAATAAATAATTTAAATTAATTTAAATAATGTGTTTTAATTATATATTTTTATCGCCAAAGTATAACAAAATATATAAAAATTTTCATTAATAAGTTTTAATATTGCCATAAGATTTATTCAATAATTTATTGACAATAAACACAAAATCATTTGAGAAATGCCAAATTCTATAGTTTATTGTATTTATTCAAAATGTTATTATTATTTGAGATAAGTTACATAATTTGTTAAATATTTACAACTTTTTCAATCCGAGAAAACTCTCAAAGAAATCATCAGCAATGTCCTTAAATACCAATAAAACAATGATAATTTGATACACTCGTAAATTTACTTTTATACATTGTACTATGGTTACACTGTTGACAATGTACTCATATTTTACTTGTAATTAAGTTTAATATTGTTTTATTTTACAATTTAAATATTTTTAAAACCCAATGTATAAAAATAATCATAACTTCTCCATTAATATTTGGAAAACTTTGATATAATTTGTAAAACAATACTATGTAATGAAATTGAAACAGAAATAAATTAATAAATGATAAGAAATGTTGAAAATTATACGAAATGAATGAATAGAAAATGTTAGGTTCAATAAAACATTGTGTGAAACATTTTATATTCAAGTTGTGCTCAAAGTTACAATTAAAGTTGTATTTAAAATATGGAAAATTTATTTTTCTATGAAATATAATGTAAAATATTTTGCTAACAAAAACAATATGAGGTCCGATTAGTGATTCAATCATCGAGTAGTGAACAGCAATGAAAGCATGAATTTGAACCGAATTTGCATTCATTTCAATAATTAAACATTAATTTCAACAATTATTGTTAGCATTCATTTATTAGTATTGACTGTTAGTATTGATTAAAACATGTATTAAAACTATTAGACAGTATTTTTCACTCGACATCACATTTCATAAACTCTTCACTAAAATATTTACCAAGTCTTCATTAAAATCTTCCCTAAGCGCTCGATGAATGTGTGATTTGGTTTATCTCTCAACACTATTACTATTAATCCCAATCACTAATCCATTTAATTGATTCAAATCTAAATGTTATCGAGAATGTGGTCGCTTTCCAGTCATTTCCGGACCGAAAGGTTTGTGTTTAATCTCTTTAATACGCAAATATTTGAATCCTTTTCTTTGGATTAATCTTAGGGTCAAGTTTGGCATTCCTCTGGAGGACGTGTGCGACGCTCACGACGACATTCCCGCAGCCCTTCTCGTCATGATTCTCAAGCTTAACAAAGAGGCGCCTTTCAAGCAAATGGTGTTTCGCAGGTGCGGCCATCGCGGCAACATTATGCAACTCATCCAATTCCTACAGGTTTGAGTCAAACAAACAAATCTATGTTTACATTGAAAAATATCTATGTGTCTCTGTGTGTAAAGTCGGGTCGTTTGGTCAATATTGACAACTACTGTGTCTATACAGTCGCTGCGGTATTGAAGCAATTCCTGAATGAGTTGCCGTCGGGAGTGTTTGGCGCCGAAAGAGAGCGACGATTGTTTCAAATCATTGAATGGGAAAGTATTGAAGAAAAGAGGGAAGAGATTCATAGGATTCTGGCGTCAATGCCAGTCGTCGCTCAACACCTTCTGGTGCTTCTGTTCGGCACATTCCGAGCGATGGCCACATGTTCTCAACGGGCCATCACTTGCATAACATCGGAAACAATCGGTATATTGTTTGCTCCGATTTTGTTCCAATGGGGTGTTCAGGAATTGGCCACAAGCCATGACTTACCCCGATATAAGGCACAAACAGCTGTGGCCACTGCTATCATAAGGTTTTTAATCGACAACTTCGGTGCGAGTAATCTCTTCGGTAGAGATAATTACGAATATTACGGCCGAATTTCTGGTCGCGTTCTCAACGTGGAGGACAACTGGATCTTTGCTTTGAA